ATTCTTTTTCCCCTCCCCCCCCCCCCCCCCCCCCCCCAATAGAAAACAATGCTTCAGAAGACTGGATTTAAGTTAACTCTTCCAAAGTATCAAGGAATTTCAAGGAAGTTTGGTTTAGCCTACAAATATTCCTCAGAATTTTTCTAGCTATTCTATGAAGGGATACTTACCATCTGTATTTCAACCTAAACTGAGTGTCCAGGAATGTATGCCTTCCAGGGTCCCAGGTACAAGTCATAGGATATGTAAGTTTTGACAGCTGATGCACAATGCAACTTAAGTTCCTGGGCTTCTCTGGGGGCACTGCACAGAAAAAGTTAACAATAATTAACCTACATACACATTTCAATCCAGTAAGAATAATTCTAGGTATCTCCTTACAGCAATTTCAGTGAACATCAGAAGTATTTATAGTCAGATTTCTTTCTAAAGGACAGGTCAAAAAGTGCTAAATACCATCCAGCAATAGAAGTCAAGAAGCTTAACCAGCTGTTCTGAGAAACAGTAGGCTGTATAAAGAACAAGCACCTGACATTAAGGAAGAGCACAGAAGACTTCCCATTCCTTGAGGCAGGAAACCTAGTATCAACCATCTCTCATCTAAATCTGTGTTAATTCACACAGAGGAAAATGCTAGTGAGCATTACTGATGGATTTGCTTATGCTGGCTGCCAAAAACTTGAGCTCCAAGGCAACTGTGATAGGTCTATTCTCCCCCACCTGAGCTATGGAAGCAGGATGCTCTATCCGCAAACACCTACAAGATAAGAGATCATCATCAATGCACTTTCATAGTGTCTAATTAACTTTTTCAGAGTGCAGCTGAACTAATTTTTTCCCTTCTCATGTTCAAATCATGGCATAGAGAGTTTGTTTCTAGTTTTTAGAATATCACTATTTACAAGAGTTAATGTACTTGAAGAATCATATTTCAAGCAGAATGCCTGAACGTAACTACCTTATGAATCTTAGTTTTGTTCCTGAATATTTGTATTCCTCTCAAACTTGTTATTGTTTACAGTATTTTTCTTTAACAGTATGAAAAGACAGTAGCTTGAAATACAAATGCATATCAATATTCATATGTGAATTACAAACTGTAGAATGTTATCTGAATGTCATTCAGTTTATTGTCTTTGGATATTCTATCTGTCCTCACCTTTCCATATACTTTGCCTGTCAAATCTCCTCATATGACATTTACTACTGAGCAGCTGAAATAGAAAACATTGTTTTTATGTGAAAGCATCTTGTAACTCATGCTAGAACCACGTTAATTTAAATTGTGAACTTAAGCCAGCCTTTGTACACTATCATGCAAAAACTGCAGTATCTTTCACCAGCTCTAGGAGGCAACATAATTCACCCACCATTCATACTCCGATAGTAAGGACACTTGAACACTTATTTTGTAAACTGTCCAGCAATTAACAAGTAGTACATTAAGTTATTCATGTTACTTTCTCGAGACCTCAGTCTTGTCTCAAAGAGCACTTGCTCAGAACTATGCAAGTGCCATCATGCTTGAACAAGGAAAGTTCATAATTAGTCAAAAGCATCTTCTTGTATAAAGGAAGAGTAATCCCAATAGTATGTTCCATCCTTAAGGCAGTTCAAGTTAGCTTTAGTGATACAGATGGACTAAGTATTTTTCAATCCATTAATGAAGAAAATATTAATTTCATAATGTTATTATAAAAGCAGGACATATGACCTTACTGTATTTCCTTGAACACTGAAAAAGAAACAAGAAGTAAGGAGAAGTTAATTTATTTCCTAGGATCTATTTCAGTTAAATTAACATCCTTCTGTAATTTAAATCCTCCTGCTTCAACACTTTTCTTTTGTTTTCTGTTCTGTTTTCTTCAACACTTTTTCAACACTGAAATATTCCAGAGTATTTTTACTTTTAGACAAATCTATTCTGTGCATATTTACCAACTTTGATGGCATGTAATTTGACAGCATTTTTGTACAATTATCCAGGAACAGAAATAAGCATCTCAATATGTGCACACTTTCTATTGTTTGCATTCACTTCCCTGTTTCCTAGAAGCAATTTTATTAAGACCAGAATAAAAGGTAAGAAAAAATGGTACTTACAGCCTATTGTAACTGTAATTCCATAAATGTTCTGCTCAATCTGTCCATCTGCTAAAACGTTGCATGTCAGAGGAGTAGATAGTGAAGAAGTGTCATTAAATGTGACGCTGGAAACCGTTCTGTTTATTTCATGATACTGTTCTTTAGGTACCACTCTATTTTTAATTTTCCAGATAATTTGATTAGCATAGATATTACCAAAGTCAAGACAACTTTCATTCAAAATACATAATGCTGTGAAATTGGAACCAAGGGCCAACACAGGAGACTCTGGGATGATGTGACCACATGACTGTACAAGTCCACCTGAAACTAAAAAGAATGGCATCTTTAGTAAAAACAGAGCATTCCATAATCAATATTGATGATACAACACTAGTGTAATGTTAAATACTACATGTGTCTAAGCAGGAGATTAATTAGCTACTTGATAGTTATAAAACTGAAATGCATTGGTGGACCAGCAAGCAGATTCAAGGGGCAAAACCAATGCAGTCTTCCCTGAGATTTGCAAACTCATTTTACCAAGCCAGAAGAGCTCTATTAATAAACAGGGCCTTTAGAAAGAGAGAGGAGGAACATTCAGTATGTTTTGAAGGAGGAAGGTAATATACTTAAGGTTACTCTTGCAGTTAAAAGGTTTCTTCCGTTGAGAAAGTTAATGACAAAAAATGTGATAAGTATGCACCTTTGTTGTGGTGGGCTAGTTTTACAAAAAATGCATGCAAACAGTTAAATACTTGAGTTGTCCCGTTCAAAAGCTTCCATGCATATACTATAAGCATATTTGGGAATTATAGCGAAGTTTGCGTGTTTGGTAGTACTCTTTTTACAAATGAACCTCAATACAACAATAAAATTGTGACTACTGCTACAGAGGCATATGGAGAATTTTAAAGATTAAACAGATGCCTGAAATACTGCCTCGAATCAACAGCCTAACTGAACATCTTCAGGATGATCTTTTGCTACCCAATAGAAGTGGCCCACAGCTCTAACTTGATCATAGAACCTTCTACACTAGTTCACTGGTAGTTTATTGCTTTAACAGCATTTAGTCTCACCAAGGCACACTTTCATCTAGATACCATTTGGCATACGTGAAATTAGACATCAGTTTGCTACAGTGATCAACTCCAGTGATGTCAGTGGAACCAAAGCAACCTTTCAAGTCACTCTTCACAATCTCTATAGACAAATCAGCAACAAACAGATGCAGAAGGGAATACTGATTTAACATGCATTATTTTATCATACTATTAAGAGCATAGACTAGGTCTCTCCATCCTAATACACATTGCTTTCTGCCCCCACCTCACAAGTACTTCAAAAAAAAGGAAGTATGCACTTCAAACATCCAATTAAATAAGTTCTCTGTCTCAAACACAAGAGACTAGTAGAAGTCTTACCTTTAAAAGAACAAATATTCAAGAGCAGATAAAAGCTATGGGCCACCCAGTTCCACCCAGAAAACATGCTGGACAGAATTCCTGTAACAGAGACATATTTTTTTTTTTTAAGTTAAACTATTACTCTTCATTTTAGATCACTGTCAAATTCAGATTTGTATTGATCTACAACAATTTCTCAGGTATGTACATTTGCTTTTCTCAGTTAGTATCTTCTCACTGTAGAGAAAGAATGGGCATATTCTTTCCATTTTACTCATTGCTGTAACAAAATCCAATGTCTGCTTAAGACAACTGATGCAGTTTAAAGGCTCTTTAGTTACAAACTTAAGAAATTTAAGGTTAGGTCAGTTTAAGGTTTTCAGGACATATATGGAAATAAACCGAACTTCACTGGTACTTCTGTGGAAGGTTCAGTTAGAGGTTTTAAAACAGAACCCTATGAATTTGGTTATGGTTATCATACTTACTGAGCTTTCAAAAGCACTGATGCAAACTCTTTGCACAAGGTTCTGAACAACTCACAACAAAACCAAGTTTCTCATTCACAAGAGGGACTTAAAATACATTTAAGAATTACAAAGCACAGAACTTCCGTATCAAAAACTGTTGACTGCTATAGAAAAAGCATTAACTAATTCTTCAAAACCTTAAGAGGGAGCTTGTAATTCCTCAGAAGTTGAACATTTTTAACACGTTATGTTCTTTATTTCTGTATTACAGCAGAGCTCACTCATTCTCCATTTTGGCAATTCTACCAAACAGGTTAGGGAAACTGAAGCATCCACCGAGTAGCTTCCACTGCAGTTGTTTTGAATCCACAAAGTCTCTTCTGGATTTCTCAACTTGCAGTTATAAACCAGCCCTAAATTACTAAAAGCAAGCAACCATTCTCTACATACTAAGCATATGAGCTATATTTAGCTACATTTATGCATCTTTGCAGGAATAGGTAGATTGGATTAGTGAAACAGGGCATCTAGTCTACAACCTGATCTCTAAAAGCAGACTTCATACTGTTCTTATAGCTAGAAGCTAAACACAGAATTTCTAGGTTTACCAAGACTTGAGATGAGAGTGCCTGTAGCAACCCTGCTTCTGAAGTTTTATTGTCACTCACCTGACAAAACTTCTTTGGAAATCAGCATTCTGAGCTCTACTCCTATAAAAGGCAACTCACTAAGAAGTTTAAAGGAATGCCACAGCATTCCTTAGAAAGTAAAATTTAAAAGCTATACTTACTATAATCAGAAAGAAATGAAACTGCAATTTATGACAGGAAATACTCCTTTGTTTTGATTGCATGTAGTTTATAACAAAGACAGAAAGGCACAAGGTGTTCCACATAGGTCAATTAAACTAGACAAGACATTTAAGGACTGATTTATCAATACCAAGATAGCATCCCACTCCTTAGGTATTAGAACATCTAAGCCATTCATTTTTACAAATCAAGGTAAACAGTGTAATGTAAAGAAAATTTCTATTCTCAAGAATTAGAAACCAACAAACACAAAAAAGCCAAACATTTACAGCAGAGTCTTTGTAGGGCTCATCAACATAGGTGTGTTTCAGTTAGGACTAAAATAACAGCCATTAGAATCACTCAGTAGAGTCTTTATTCACATCTAGACTTGCAAGTTCATTACTCAAAGCCCGCAAAATTTCTTATATAAGAATTTTATACTATAAAATATTGCTGATAAGAAGACTGGACAATTACATTAACAAGTTTATGTAACTTTATTTACTACTAGAGGTTTGGGTTTTTTTTTTTTAATTAAGTAACAAGATTTATTTATAATCAGACTGTATTTGTACAGAGTTGAGAATCAAAAAGCTATTTGTTTTTTCTGTGTTACACTCAAGTACTATCTCTGGGCTGGATATGAAAACCATTATCCAGTTTTAAGTGCAATACATCTTTAGATACTTCTTACAAGTGTACAATAAGAGAACTAGACGAATTGATTTTTGCTTATTATGGATGTAAGGTCTTCCAGTATCTGAAAACTAAGTTTTTACCCACTCACACCCTTCTGCATTTTAAAAATACAATTGGTTTCACAAGTTTTAATAAATTCACATGATGAATACAATAAACTTGGAAGAGTATTACCAGCACACAGGAATATATCTTAGTGTCTCAACTTACTCTAACATTTATCAGATAAAGCTTGCTTTTCTCTATTAAGGTTAGACCTCAAGGTTTGTTATTTTAAGCAAGCTTCATTTAAAGCTATTTTAAGTTAAACCATTTCATCTGAGGCCAACTACAAACCAGGTAGAAAGAAGCAGCTCCACTTTCTCAATTGCCAAAAGCTACTGAACAACAGCTGATGCAGATTCCACACTGAAGAGGAACAAGTAAAGCACATGTAAAAAAGGCAAAAAGGACATTTTTAAAAAGCACATTCAATATAGTATTTATCTCCCATTTGGTATCACAACTGATGCCACATTAGAATAATGGCAATGTCAGCTAAGTATTGCATCATTACAAAGTTATTGGTTTTATTTTTGGTAATGATTTATTTCAGGTAAAATTATATTTCTGCAAAACTATTCAAGAACTGCTGGTGTTAAAATCATACTAAATATGGCTCAGGTTAACAAAAAAAACCACAGTGAAGCACCTGAAGGAACATAAAAGCCAACGCTTAAAAAACAATAACCAACTCGATAGAAGTAAACACTAACATATCTTGCTTTCAAGTATAATGTTTTCAATAAGAAGTCAAAATAAGATCACTTCATCTTTTGAAATAAATGCTATTTCTACATTCAATTGTTTTCCATACTTGGAATACAACATTTTAGTTGTCCTGAGCAGATTTATTTACACATGGGAAACCGAAATCCAAATCTCTACTATTTCGCACTTTGGAAGTTTTTTTTTTAAAAAAAAAAAAAAAGCCAAATCAGCCTTTTATCTATACTATGTAGTTGTTGCAGACCAGTAAGTGAAAGTTTTCCCAGCCAAGTCAAGTTAGGTACAACATTAAATGAAGAGGGAAAGGAGACAGAAAGGAACTGACGCTAGAAAGTTGCCAGGTTACTTTCATAGTTAAGTCTGCCGAGTGGCAAAGGATTAAAGTCCACCAAAATACACGGTCAATTTAGAACTGCTGCTGGTTACAGTCCTTAACACACAGAATGTAAGTTATCTTAAAGAGGAAAAAAACCTCTTAAAATGCTGAGATTACTTCAGTAAAGACAGACATATGAAACTCATCTGCCGTGAGATCACCCCATTTAATCCCTAAATCATATGGGACTTTATTCTTCATTCTGCTACCATTTTGAAAGGAAAACACTAAGACTTTATGCCTGACTCTTAAACTGATGATACAGGCAGCATCCTATGAAAAGCTCTAAACTACCCTAAAGTCAAGCTTTATATGCACAAAATAGCAACAGCATTGTGTTCTATGACTAACCAGTGAATAACAGTTTTTCAAGACACATCAGGCGTTCATGCAAAAGTGATGCTAGTACTTATTCTCAGCAGCAGAGAATACTCTTACAAATTAATCTTTTCATACACCAACCAACCAACCTCAAAATGAATAACAGGTATGCAACATATAAGTTCTCATCTCTCCATTTCAGAGACGTGACAATTATTGTGAAAGTGATTTACAAATGATAACTTCAGTTTAACAGATTACAGCCAAAATGACATGCTCTTGCAAGCAAAGCTAGCTTGCAAGTCAGGAAGTATAGATAACACCACGACCACCACAGGAAAGTGTTAGGTCTATTAAGGCTCATCATCACATCAACCATGAAAGCCCAAAGGTTGTTGGCAAACGGATTTCCAGAAATTCCTCAAAAAAAATTAAGAGCTATACTTGCAGCATCAAGAGGTAATCTCTAAGACTCCACATAGGTCAGGCAGATAGAGGAAGGAACCAGTACATAAAAGTGATACTGCACACAGCAACTACTGCTTGAGGTTTCATAACAAGCCAGGTAGTACTTAAAGCCCATCTAAAAGCTGTAACTATCCTCAAGGAATTTTGATGACTCAAGCTATAACTGCTTTCTAATTAGGAGCAGCTCATCTCCAAGCTTCCTTCCTTCCTCCAAGCTTACTTCTTGCTTGGAATTATTAATGAGACTCAAAAAACCCAAACACCACTAAGATAATCACTTGAAAACCTTACATAATGTTATGGGCAAAGAATATTCTGAAATTCATTTTCATATTGAAAACATCTATACACAAATGATATCTCTACCCCTGTCAGTTAAATCAGTTCTGCACATTATTAACTTCTTTGCCTCTAGAAAGAAGCTTCTCCCTACCTCTGGGGCTTTAGTATAACACTCAGAATAAAAAAACCCAAAGAAACAGGGAACAGATTAAAATGACTGAAATACCTCACTGGAGGCACCACATACTTGCTTGCAAGAATTAAGTTCTTCATCCTGTCACCTTCTTAAATTGCAGATCACTTTTTCTGAAATACTTCAGATTTTTTTTTGCAGCTAAAAAGTAGCTTTAGTCTAAAAGCAAATGAAATCATACAAAACAATGTCTTAGCATTCCATGTTCTCCTTCTGAAGTCAAACCTTTAAGACTGACAAGCACCAATGCCGGTTCTCTAACTTAGACAGTTCTTGATAATATAAGAATTATCCTAAAAATACAGCCAAGAAGTTCACTAATTTTGCTACAACTGTGCTAGTGCTAATCCCCCAGAGACACAGCATGGGAGGCAGTGGATCTCCATTTTGTGTACAGACTCAGATGTGTATGTATCTTTTTTCCTCACAAATACAAAATTATATATAGGCTTTACTTGAAGAGATCACATTTCTAGACAAGTAAACAAGATCCAAATATTTATTTTTTAATGCTTAACTTGTAGGAAGTAATCTCAAATTTTCATCATCCTCTCCTATTTTCCTGTTGTGATATGCTAACATACAGATTAAAAGTTTATTAAGTTCCAACAGAAACGTTTTACATATCATTATTCCTCTGAAAGTAACAGTATTACAAAGACGAGTATAAATTTTATGTTCTATAACAGAAAAGAGGGCGAAAGATAAAAATCCTAAAAGTATCT